GCCATTAGCAAGACATTATGAATGATTTTATTCCTCATAGCTGAAGAGCTCACAGACATCCTCTTAAATATTGAAGTGTGACAGTCGATGAGTAGATGATGCACCTCAGATTACAAGATTTGACAGTGCTAGAGGAAAATTGAAAACTTCAAATTCTTGCCAACTGGTGCTCTTAATAATTCACTGAATCACTAGGTACCTTCTGGCAAGCCACATTTTCCTGACATCCAAGCACTAACTATTTCAATATGTAGACTGTATCACTAAAACATCTAATAGTTACAATTTCTAACTCTCTATATTTTCAGATTGGTTTTATTGACAAACATAATTAATTTTTATGGCCCAGCTTCAAAATTCCGTTAGAATATTCCAAAGTGAATAAACTTTTAGATGTGAGGTGTACTGCATAACTTCTCTAAAATATCTGTTCCTTGGTACTAATCTCCTCCAGTTACGAATTTAACAAAAAACTGACTCTTCTTTGGCTACAAAATTATGAAGGGTGCAGTAAGAGAACATTTTCTAGTTTAGTCCAGCAACACTGGAAAGTCACCAAAGGTTCAAGAGGGCCATCAATAAAAAAAAATTATAACATCACCAACAGAGTCTATAAATTATTTATATGTTTTAAAATTATGGACTTTCTAAACTTAACTTCTGGAAAGATGTAAAGTGTAGAGCTTCCTGAAGAGCAAAAAATATAAAAATACTCCAATTATAATGGGAATGAGTAATCAGAAAGGCATAGCTGTTTCTGTATGGTTACAACACAGAAAGGAAGAAGTCAGAATAGTATTAAACCCATCTGGAAACTTCATCAGAATCATCATATTGTTATATGATAGTTTATTATGCTTCAACAATTAAAAAAAAAACCAATAAAAAATACACACTATTTTTAGCCAGAAAAGGAAGTTACTGTATGGACCTGTATTTTTTAGAATCTTTTAAAGGTCACCTGACTTGCTATTTATCAACTGCCTAGCAAGGTTATTTTACCCTATCCACTGAGTTATTTCAACAAAGAAAACTGCTTTTCTGTCATCATTATATGACAGAAGACTAGTTTAATAACATGATTCTATCAAGTAATTAGAGCAAGAATGTCATAAATAATCAAGTTCCCTTAAACTACTTCAAAACTGGAAGTATTTTTGCAGTTTAATTACAACTGTATAAAGTGTATTTTCAAATTCCCAAGCACAGTATTAATATCTTCAACAAGTTTCTTTTATTACAAAAAATAAAAATATTTTGGTAGTTTAAGGCCTTTTCAGACACCCCTGTATCATGTTAAATACCTTTTAATTAAAGTATTTAATAAACCATAGATGTACGATAAATATAATAAGTAAATCATAAATGTATAATAAATACCGTACTGGTATATATATCCATATTCTATGAACAAAACATCAATGCATGCAAACAAAGATAAAATGCCCAAGGCCTATGCTCCATAAAAGAAAGAGAAAAATTAAGGAAGAAACATGAAAGAGAAAAGTGATATCCTTGCTCTCCAAGGTAAAATTCTTATGATAAATTCATCATTCATAGTCTGTGCCACTGACCATAAAATGCTCCATATTATAATTTGAAAAAAGTCACTGATGCATGTTTTCAGTAAGTACAACTCACTTACCTACTAGTGAATAGCATTACTATAATTCCCTCAAGTAAGTTTCAGTGACATTGATTTAAAATTATCGTACTTACTGACCATATTCACGACAAACTAAAAGGAAATTGCCGAGACAGCACTTAGCTTATGCATTATAGAATTTTTTATTCCCATCCAAATGAATAAATAAAGTTTGGAAAAGGAATGTTACATATAGTTTTGTTCACACTTTATGAAGTTTTTTTGTAGAACATAACTATATCCTGCTTTTGTCCTCATACTTTAAATACCCATTATTGTAAATTCTCTCTCTCCAGATTTTTTTTCTATGCCTTAAGTATTATGAAACTCCGTGAGTGGAGCTATTGATCAGTTTAATCTAAAAGTAATGAAAGCTCCTTTAATTACATTCCCTTTAGAAGAAAGCTACTTTTTAGTCTATTTATTTACAATTATATTGATCATGACTGATTTTTCTGGTGTTCAGTTCTTGAAAATATATTAATTGATTCTACATTTTGGACCTCCATATGTTGATTTCCAAACACTGCCATTTCTAAAATCTCTTAGACCCTGCGTTCAGCAGAGTTTCTCTCACATAGATATACTACTTTTCCCATACTAAGGATGCTCAAAATACAAAATTTCACTTTTATTTTTTTGTACATTCTCATGGCAATTAAAAGCTCTCCTTCCACTGCTATAACTAGAGACCTGAAAATATCTGTTTTTACCGTTATATTTATGTTTCTTCCCTTGTTTAGGGAGAAATCTACACTGTATACCCATTCTTTGTGGTCTGCAGATCAATAATTCAGATAGCTTACTTTTAACGCTGAAAATCTATCTTTGAAAACTAGTGTCAGTTACTTTTTATTCCTAAGTAAATGGGAAATTATTAAAATATTTGAAGTAAACCAAAATATGTTTCTAAAACAAATTCAAAGTAATTACAAAACTAAAACCAATCGTTGTTTTTCAAAACACGAGGTAGTCAGGTATTCATCATCTAAACAATACCAGCTCACACAGCACTAATGAACACATTACATGGACATAACTGTAAAAGATTGAATGAGAATGTCCCATACAAACTTCTGTATGATATTAAAATATTATAAATACTTAGGGAAGGCAAACAGCCACAAGATGTGCTATTTGCCCTTCACCAGTGCCCTGTTCAGGTTAGGAAGGGCTTTTTGGAGGCCATCCAGTGCAACATGTGTTTCAGACTTGCCCAACTTATGTTGCATTACTTACAGCCTTGTCCAACTGGATATATATCCAACAGGATATTCCTCTGCCTCTCTGAACACCAAGAAATACTTTTATTTCCATTTCTGCGGTGTGATACCAATAATTAAAAAAAAAAAAATTTAAATTGCATTCTGTGGCCATTGCAAAAATCTAACCAGATGTTAAATTTCCATCTGGATGCCTTTCCAGTCACCAAAAAGGAGGAATTTTTAACTCCAAGAAACCTTATTCTGTACTTGTAAAACTATTTATTTAAACTGAAAATTACTTATGACACACAAGAATTTAAGAAGTGTATACATTCCCAGAACAGAAGGATAAAATCCTTCTTTATGGGATCCTGGTCTCAGTATGAATGCAAAAAGCGTAATTTATTGAAGAAGTATGTGAATTCTTCAGCAAGCATAGTGAATGTCTGACACTGCTTATTGGGCTGAAGTTCCCAGAATCTTAAGTTGTCAAAGTGCCACTCTGGGAAGTCAGGCTCCATCACCTTCATTGAAAAGCAAATCTCAGTGTTTCACCAAACCAGAAGTTCTGATTAGTCCTTTCCTCTACATTTCCAGACAGGCATATCAGATTGTTCAGTTAAGCATATTATTAGTATTTATTAGTATCTGTTAGTACTAGTATGTATTAGTATTATTAGTATTAAAAAACACTTGACTTTCGAATTTTGAGTCAGTGTCACTGAACAGATCCTTAGTCAAGAATTATTAAAATCTTTTCCTAAGCAAAGCAGTTACTCTTTTATTTGTTCTTCATGGCAGTTATTTATTGCATACAGAGGAATTACTATAAACAAACAGGGTTTGCTTGCAGGATTGAGTATTTCCTGAACAACAGAATTTCACTAACTTCCCATAGAAACAGATACTGAAATGCCCAGTTGGTCTGTAAAAGTAATTTTACATGGGAAATTTAACTTCCTAGAGTGCGCCGCAAGATGGGAGAAAAGACAGAAGTCATTTAAAACTTTTACTTAAACAATAGTCATGATACTTGAGAAGACTGAAGAGGACTGAAATGAAACATAACTCCTTACCTGCTAACTATCTTTCCTGCTTTTCTGGATAAGTGTGATCATACAGCTTGAATGTTACACACTGTAAGTCTGATAATGTATCTAACAATATTATGATATGGAGCATTTTAATCCTCCTCACCATCCAGTGCACAGACACAAAAACCACCAACTATTTGAAGTACCTTTATACAAGGGATTATTTAATAGAGAATCCACCGAGAACATAGGAAATAGCCAAGTTCGTTTGCATGGCTATGCACATCTACATTCCTGTGAGTTTGTGTGCACCGTATGTACACACGCACTCACATATAATGACCCAACCCCCCCTCTCCCGAATTCTTAGAAATAGTTTTTTGTTTGTTGAGGTTTTTCATTTCTTTTTTTTTAATACCAGTGCCAACTAATATTTTTATCAAGTTAATAGCTTTGTGTCACTGACATTACTGAACAGCTAAAATAGAGAAACAATGAAGTATTAAGGAAACAGATTTTGACCCTTTACTAATTCTCAGGTATCTATTTTAATTAGCATACTTTATACACTCTATTTTCAAATTATCTACTGATAATGTCAAACTACCATGGATCAAGTATACTAAGCCCTACAAAACAGAATTTTAAGAGAAATTTCATTTGTGAATGTAACCAGGTAAATAATATCAAAACAAGGCACCAGGCCATGTTACAAATTTAGCTATGTAGGATGCTAAACACAGTTCACTTCTAAGAAGTATGAGCTAATGAGAAAGATCCTGCACATTCACTTTTGGCTAAACAATGAAATGATAAATATAATACAGAAGATAGGACTTCGAGATAAAAGCAGCATATTGCAAAAGCCCAAGATAATTTACTGGAGCTCAAGAGTTGAACTTCGTAGTCTCATAAGAAAAAATGGTGTATTGCAGTGTTCAGTATAACATTCGTAGCACGCCCGATTCTCATCAGCAATCATAAATTATCTAATCAATGACAGCTACAAATCACCTACAAATTCTGTCAGCTTCCCATATAGAGGAATTTAATATACTTTACACAGTAATTCAAATAACCTGTTTATATACACAGTGTGTAAAACTAACAACCTACTTTGTAACCTCCGTGTGGGACTCTCGCCATGGAGTTGTCTGCGTGGCAAATATGGTGAGGGATGGGGAAGTGGCAATGAAGAGACATCGTGTGTTTGAAGTTTGTACCAATGAGGTTCATCATCTAGTAATGCTGTCTCTAACTCAATAAGAATCTAAAAAAGAAAAATGGTTAATAGTAGGAAAACATTACTTAACACAATACTTTAAAATAGATATGTTCCTATATTTTATTGCATTATTCTCTTCTTGTTAAGGACTTTGCCTGAAGTTGTATAAAAATACCGCACTTGGTCTGAAAGGAGTTCCTATGTCTTTCAGAACACTAAATATAGCAACAATCTCTCACTAAACCTTTATAACCTTATGAAAACCTTTGCAGCATTCAGGTATCTTGTTGCAAGTTAGTTAGCAACGTCCCAACATTTTTGGTAAAATACAACTGTGGATAATATGCATTGTAACAAACAATTCTAAAAGAAATTTAGAAACCATGTGCATGTTGTTACTACAACAGAACAAACACAGAAAGAATCTCATATCAGCATACTATGTGATATGTGATCACTACTTGTTTACTGCTAAGTAAGGACAAACAACAATTTTAAACAGTTTTGCTTTGTTATATTTAATAATTTTTAAAAAATACAGTATCCAGACATGAACATGTAAGCAACTGTGTTTCTATAAGAAACACAAATAATTTTTTACCTCTCCTAAAAATTCACTTTCTTCCTCTCGAACCCGTGCTTGGTCCCAAAGAGTAATTTCTAACATTCGTTCTCTGAACTCTCTCCGATGAACTGGAGAATAAATAAATGTCTGATTCCACTTAGGTTCCAATGTTTTCTTTACTGTTTTTGTTCTTCTTTTATTTTTATCACTGGAAAACAAATATTAAAAATGTGAAAAAAACACATTATGGTGTAATAAGTGTATCATGGAAACTTAAATCAGTAGTACATTTTTGTAGCATTATGAGCACTATAATATATGTCAGGATTAGTCCTTTATGACAAGTTCAGCATATATATTGAGGATAATTCATAACTTCATATTAAAAACTATAATCAGGAGTTTTACAGTTCATGTGCCCATTCCAATTTTAAGAAGTTCCCTGAAAAACAGAAATGTTTTCTTATGTTTGGTTTGGAAACAGAATCTTAAAAACCAAAATATACTTCCGCAAATGGAATTTCCAAGAGGCAGTGTGTGACAATAGAACATGCATGCAGAAAACACTGGGCATAGCACAAATCTGCATTTCAGGTGATCAAGCCAGCTGGGTCACTGAAGCTTCCAGCAGCTCACTCGTAAACTGCAGAGCCGAGGGAGCAGCTGTCCCACATGAAGGAATGGTCAGGGAGCTACAGGCAGTGCGGGGCCTTCTCCATAGGGTTTTCCTGACTAAGGGTTCCACAGCTGGGAAACAACGAGCCCGGAGAATAATCACATGCCTTTCTTTCCCAGCAACACTGGAAGGAATACTGATCTGAAAATAGCTCCCCAAATCCTTTGGGTCACCTCAAGGAACCACCCAGGTTGAAGGTGGATCTCCGTTACAAAGTTGGTCCTATGTTCTGGAATCCAGTGAAGTCTCCATGCAAGGCTGCCATGGCTCTCGCTCCAGGATGTTGTTGAAAGAAATTTTTCCTTGAAAGAATTAATATTTTCTGAGGGAAACAAGCTTGGCTGGAAAGCATCCATGCTGCTTCTATTGAGAATACTGACAAGAGTTCTCATAATAATTCTTAATTTTAAACCTATTGATTGCTGCATAAGGCAGCTATGGTGCTAATATTTGTGGATTTTTTAATATGGCAATGCAGATACTGTCTGTTTGCTAATATTTGCAAATGTAATATAGTTATTGTATTTCTGAACTGTTACTTAGAAACTGAATCAAAATATTAACTAAGAAATCATATTTTTAGACACACTGCTAAAATAAATAATGTAATTATTTCTATTACACTAAAGATTTGTTTACCCTCGAGAACTTTTCCAATGAAATTTGTTTAATCAAAGACAGTTCAGTATCTCCATCTAATTAAATGTTTGACTTATTTAAGTGTATTCTACCTGTAGCACGTTTCCTTCTGCTACACAAGAAATACATTATCTCCTAGCTTTTACCTCTAAGGAAAGGAAAATGAGTTTGCATGTCAGAAAAAACCCACAGTTTGGTAAGATAAATTGCTGATCCTTATATAAGTGATAAAAACCACATGTAATAAAAAGTTCTGAATACTTCACAAAAATGGGAAACACCAGTATAGCATAATAAAACTTTATGTTATGTAACTTATTGTATCTGTACACTGGAAAATATTTAATTAAATATTTTCCTTCCATGTATTTTTAGTTACTACAACCTATGTTGCAAAGCATTCTGAACACAGGCTTTTTTTTGTAGCTTTATTAATCTGGAAAAAGCAGATAAGATAACTCAAGCAGACCTGGTTCTCAGTTTAGTATAGCTTCAGCATCTCCAAACACAATATAGCAACTTGAATAAACTAAGAATCTAGTCCAATAGCTCAAATATTGGTGAGCCCAGGACATCCATTCAGAAACCCTTTTGTCATCGACAACATGGCAAATTATGCAGTCACAGAAAATATTCTTGTGAACATAGGGTATACAATGGAAGTGGAAAAATCAATGTCTTTCAAAATATTAAATAGCTTTAATTCCTGCTTTAGTCAATTGGTACTGGAGATAGTTAGCATCTTCCCCGTTTAGCTATTAGGAAAAGAAAAGCAAAGGATGTAAAAATATACACAGCAAAGCTACATCCCATTCTACAGATTCAGCAATTCACTTGTCTATCTTTTATATACTGAGTCAGGTTAAATCTTTTAATTATTTGGTTGATACACTACAACATAAAGCTAAACATGTTCCCCTACTGACACAAGCTGAGGAAATACCAATAAAAAAAATAGCCAACTGGGGAACACATTATGCCCTTCACCATATTATTCCACCACCTAAGTTAAAATGGCAGAAAATCATGGACTGAAAAATGATGAAGCTATTCAGGAACAAGGGTCTCTAAAAGCATATGCAATACTCGACCAGAGTAGTACCAGTCTTGTGCTTTAGGGGAGTTTTTCAAGGTGCATCTGGGAAGCCTGAATCCCCCTCAGCCTTAACTCACTTACACTGTGATATGAACACAGTGAGCTTCAGACACCAAACCTGCTACTGCTTTCTTGTGTGAAGGTGGGACAAACCAAACTGCTGGACTGATTAGTCCAGAAATCTAACATTGTAGCATTTTCTTTGGACTAGACAGGGATAACTGTCATAGAAAATATGTGCATTATCAGACACTAACAATATTCTTTACAAATAACAGATCTTCATGCAATTATGTATGTTTATCTTTTTTATTAGTATTTAACAAAATATCCAGTGAAAGTGACTTTGTGTTTAGTGTTCAAAGACACACCCCTGTTCCATAACATGTTCGATAAGGAAGCTCCAAGCCATAAGATGTTTCCACGTGTGTGTGACTAGTAAACTCAGCTGTGCATTCCATCTGCATATCAGACTAATTCTTACCCAAACGTTGCTTTTGTTTATGTTCACCCTACCTTCTGTCTGGAAGAAAGTATATTTTAACATAAGGATTCCTTGGTCTCCCGTCTTCCCTGGAAGGAAGATCCTTTGCTCCCAATATTGTCACTATTAGCTGATGACCAACCTTGTCATACCACAGTTTTATCTGTAATGAGAAAATATTAATCAGTGAACTCATTTCTACAACAAATAAGCATATCAATCTTTAACATCAATTTTGCTCATAAGCTTCTATTTATATTGGTTACTTACACAGAAAATGACATGTTCTTTGTATTTATGACAAAGTATAAAAAGAAATTAAATCTATAATAACTTCCGCATGTAGCAGGAGTTAGTATGTTTTAAAAATCCTGTAAAATAAGTACATTATTTCATACTAATTGTTTTTCACATGATGCTCTGGTTAGGATTATTCTCTCTTGGGAGTGGTATTGTATTACTGATGTATGGTATTCATAAATACATATTCTAAGGAGTTAATGCACAATGAATGAATGAGTATTTCATGTCCTGTTGTGCTGGAAAGACTATGCAATAAGACCACAGATATATTCAAATATCTAAGTGTCTTTCAAGATGTAGACTTATGCTGAAATCATATAAGCCCTCCAGAAATTGTAAGAGAGGGAGGCTCAGTAGTCCAAACCTCTCCACAGTCCAACTCAGCAACAACAAGGCAAAAACTACTATTACTTTGCTGTAGAAATTATTATTAATGAGTCTTAGACTTGGTCTACTATCCTTTTTTACTGCAGTCATTAGAAGCTGCTATTTAGCTATTTCAGTTTGAATACTATAGCTGCAAATACATTATTCAAGGAGAGGAAATACCTATTTTAGAGCAGTCATTGTGGAAGGGGGAAATGATGCATTAAGATAGAGCAAAGCTTTCCAAATAGCCAGGTAGTCATGACATGGTGGTACCACCACGGGATCAATAACTACAGCTGACAGAGGAGGCTCTCTTCATGGAGAGTTTGTCTGAGACAAACTAGGGCATTTAAAGGAAATGCTGTTCCTGCCTGAACTTAAGGGAATAAAAGAGGATAATACCCAAGTCCTAACCAAGCAGTGCACCCTTAGGGATGAATACACCCTAGCTAAGATAAACATAACCACTTCCACTTTCTGTGGAACCATCTCAAGTCATTTCATACACAAGGTCTCCATCTGCTGTCACAGCTACTCATCTTCAGCATTTCAGTCACTTAAAGAAAGGTCTTGATGCAATTCTCAAGACTTTTGACCCACCAACAAGAGGCTGATTTAGCTTTCTTAATACTTTGGTAATTCAGATTACACTAAGACACATCAACTCAATCCGTGGTGGAAGTGTACTCCTTACTTCTCCATTGCTTTAGCTCTTGCAACTCCTGCAGCTACCAACCAACAGTGTTTAAATAGATATTAAAAAGGAGAGGATATCTGTCCTCTACAACCATGTTGTTGGCCCTACTGACTATTGGCTGGCCTCTGCTGACTTTATAGGTTTCTGGTACCAACAGTTATAGAGCTCTATAGCTACTAAAGTAGAAAACTGTGTGAGAGAAATTATCCTTAAGGTATATATTTAATATAGTGCTAGATGCTGTTCCTACATTCCTGCAAATGAAGTGACTTTGGCAGTATTTTTTCTAAACTGAGAATTATCTGAAGTACTAGGTAACTTCATCTAGCTTCAGATCACAAGTATAAAGCTGCACCAACTGTATGAATCCAAAGCAAAGCTTTAATGACTTCTGAAGTGCAAGTCAACTTAAATGTTCTCTGACACTGTATGCATCCATCTGCAGGCATCCTTTGGAGCCCTTGATCAAAGGACAGACTTAGCAAGTCCCATACCCCAAGGGGAGTAGCACTGAAGACAATCTTTTTGATCTGCTTTTTTGGGGAAAAGTTGTTCTTGGTTAAGCAGAATGCAACCTATTTGTGATCAAGATACAATCACAAACTGTCTGTGACATGGGTGCCAAAAATATAACCAGAATTATGCATTCATATTCAGGACAAATTATTTCATAGAAGCATAGAATTGTCAGGGTTGGAAGGGACCTATAAGATCATCTAGTTCCAAACCCCTACCATGGGCAGGGACATCCTCTACTAGACCATGTTGCCCAGAGTTCCATCCAGCCTGGCCTTAAAAGTTCCAGGGATGGGGCTTACACCACCTCTCCGGGCAACCTATGTCAGTGTCTCACCACCCTCATGAAGAACTTCTTCCTGAGGTCCAGTCTAAACCGATCCACTTCTAGCTTCAGTCCATTCCCCCTAGTCCTATCACTATCCGACATCCTAAAAAGCCCCTCATCAGCTTTCTTGTAGGCCCCCTTGAGATACTGGAAGGCCACAATAAGGTCTCCTTGGAGCTTTCTTTTCTCCAGACTGAACAGCCCTAACTCTCTCAGTCTGTCCTAATAGGAGAGGTGCTCCAGCCCTCTGATCATCCTTGTGGCCCTTCTCTGGACACGCTGCAGCACGTCCATAACTTTCTTGTGCTGTGGGCTCCGGAACTGGACGCCCTCGACCTGCTGGTCATGCACCTCTTGATGCAGCCCAGGATATGATTGGCTTTCTGGGCTACAAGTGCACATCGACGGCTCATGGTGAGCTTCTCGTCCATCAGTACTCCCAAGTCCTTTTCTTCAGGGCTGCTCTCAAGCCAGTCACTGCCCAGCCTATATCAGTGCTTGGGATTGCCCCAACCCTGATGGTGGACCTTTCATGAAATCATAGAATGTGCTGGGTTGGAAGGGATCTTTAAAGGTCATCTAGACCAACTCCTCTTGCAGTGAGCCAAGACATCTTTAACTAGATCAGGTTGCTCAGAGCCCCATCAAGCCTGATCTTGAATGTCTCCAAGGACAGAGCCTCCACCACCTCTCTGGGCAACATGCTCCAGTCCTCCATCACCCTCACAGTAAAGAACTTTTTCCTAATACCTAATCTAAATCTACCCTGCTCTAGTTTAAAACCACTGTCCCACATCCTACACAGCCTTGTAAACAGTCCCTCTCCAGCTTTCCTGTAGCCCCTTTCAGGTACTGGAAAGCTGCTGTAAGGTCTCCTCGGAGCCTTCTCTTCTCCAGACTGAACAACCCTAACTCTCTCAGTCTTCATAGGCTCCAGCCCTTTGATCATATTTGTGGGCTCCTCTGGACCCGCTCCAATAGGTCCGTGTCCCTCTGGTGTTGAGGACTCTAGAGCTGGAAACATTACTCCAAGTGAAGTCTCACGAGAGCAGAGTAGAGGGGCAGAATCACCTCTCTCGATCTGCTGGCCACACTTCTTTTGATGCACCCCAGGATGCAGTTGGCCTTCTGGGCTACAAGTGCACATCGTTGGCTCATGTCCAGCTTTTCATCCACCAGTACACTCAAGTCCTTTTCTGCAGGGCTTCTCTCTATCCGTTCAACTCTCAGCCTGTATTGATAATGAGGATTGCCCCAACCCAGGTGCAGGACCTTGCACCTGGCCTTGTTGAACCTCATGAGGTTCACACTGACCCACTTCTTCAGCTTGTCCAGGTACCTCCGGAGGACATCTCATTCTTCTGACATGTTGACCACACCAGAAGCTTGGCATCACTTTCATCACTGTATCTGATTTCTTCATTATATTTGTTTCAGACAAAATTTTTGCAGGAAAACTTCACTCAAAATGCTTGGATAATAACTCTAAGCAGAAAGTTAAATTATCGGATGCCATTTCTTTGAGATCTCCGTTTTGCAACAAGAACCCAAATTTACATTGGTTTATACCTTCTAGTTTTCTCTTGATGCCTTGAAAAAAAAAAAAGGAGAAACTTGTACACAATAGGCATATTTCCCCTGCGATTCTCTGTAATTTCGCTTGTTGCAGAAAAGGTCAGGAGGCAGAATTATGACCAGAAGGCTCTTTCTATCCTGTGTTCAGACCGCTAGCACTCCAATATATAGCACAGGCATTTGTGACTCTTTGTATGCAAAGAGAAGAAAGGAAGAAACAGGGAGTAAGAGAAGGGAGAAAGAACCTGGTAGAGGGGATGATGAGATTACATTCTCATGGAGTAAGAAGAAGGAACAAATCAGAAACTGCTTTAGAATTACTGGAAAAATACAGGATACAGAATCTTTCTAGGTGAAACACAGGAAGAAGGAGCCACTAATGTCAGGTACCATAACAAAACAGAGAGCAAAACGAGACTGAATGACAGAAATGGAATGAAGTAACAAAAGAACCAGCCATTCTGTAAGTGCCACTCAATATGTCACACAGAGAGACTGGGATGAAAGAAAATCTGACAAGAAAACAAGGCAGGAAACTAGAAAGTAAAATGTAAAACAAGGAGTTAGACTAGCATATGAAACCTTGAAAATGAATTTGAGAATAAGACTGATCTAATTCTGACTCTCTTGTGCACAAATATTATGACAATATTTGAATGGTATGGTATCTTTCCTTCAAAAATAATTTCACAAGGAGAGTCAAGGTGCAGTCCAAGAGGATTAGATTCCATTCCTTCCTCTTTCCCAGAGCTCTTATGTATGTATCAAGGGGTGGCTCACGTAAAATATTTCAAGAGACATTTACAAATCGCATGTTCTTAATTGTCTGTGAGCCTAGCAGAAGATCCTGGAGCCTGATTAGTAGTGCTAAGTAAAGCATTGGAATTGAAGTCTGAGGTGTGTTATTCCTGGACAGAAGACGATTGTCTCAGACTCCAATCATTGTTTCTCAATTCTTAATCAATAAATGCAGGACAATCCTACTAACCCACATAGAATACTATATATATTTTATGTTATGAAATAAACATGTGATAGCACATGTACTACAGAAAAGTTGATGTGAAATTAATTTTTTTCTATTATAGCTCTGTGGAGTTATATGCAGAAAAGATTCCTAACACCAAAAAAAAGTGAAGAATATTGAATTATCCAAACCATAGGCTGAAAGTCCCACAAGAATGTAAAGGTGTGATGCTCAGCACTGGAAGACTTAAGGAGATGTCTGACAGAGCAGAATCTACAAGTTCTCCATTCAGCTGTTTTTTACACACGCAGGAACGACACTTTTAAAAACTCAGAACATCTAAGAAACTGTGACGTTGCAATCCTGGTCTAAATGAAGGAAGAGGAAAGCTAAAATTACAACACAAAA